ATATATATATATATATATATATATATATATATATATATATATATATACAACCAGTCAGTCGTGAGCACAGCTAACCAAAAAGTTAGCTTTGCTAACACTAAACTGCTAAACAAGTTAAAACAATACTGGAAACTAGGGATGGGGCCGATTCGGTATCGGCCTCCGATACCAGCCTAATTTACGTATCGGATTTTTCCAATCCATGATGCACGTCTATGTCTATTGAAACATCTCCAGATGTGATTCCCTGCCTGCTGCTCTGAACGTTGGCTTCAAACTATGGAATGGATTTCCTGAACGGAGGCGTGTCTCATGAAGCCCAGAGCAATAAGACTCGCCTCACGTTCAGGAAATCCATTTCATAGTTTGCAGCCAGCTAAAACATGAGTAAATACATGTGGACTGAGAGCAGCACTGTGGCTAATGGCTAACCAACTTTTCATCGTTGCATGTCCGCTGTGTGGAAGTATTTTTACACTAAACATCGCAAGACAGCAACGTGCAATGTCTGCAGAGCCATAGCGCCACATTAAACCGCGGTAAAGTTAGTTTTACATTGAACATTCGAGCTCCACGGCTTTAGCGGTTCACTCCTCTCGCTCAATCCGAAGCAGGCAGCCCGACCCCGGCCAGCCATGCCCAATCTGCCCCGCTCAGTCTGCCTGTCTCGGAGGAGGGGCAGACTGAGTGCGGCTGACCAAAATCAAACTGCCCGCTTCAGACTGAACAAGAAAAACACACCGCTGAAGCCCCGGAGCTCGAATGTTTATCGAGTAGTTGCTAAACTGCATCATAATTAATGACCTACTGCTATCAGCTGTAGAAAACGAAGGATTTCTCATCTTTATACTTGCAACCAAGATATATTTTACCCTCCAGGTGATATTTATCAGTACAACAGTAGACAATCATTAAAGAGCATATGAATTGAAAATTACAAGAAAATTATATTTAAAAAAAAAACGAAACAAGAACAGCTACATTATAAAGTGATGTAAATAACTAAAAACAGGAACATGTCTGCTGGTTTATGCCATGAACTTAGCAGATGCTTAAAGCCATTTAATTTTTTATTTTTATGTAATTAATTCATTTAAAATAAACGAAATAAACAAAACCATCAAAATAAAAAAAAACATTGAATGAAAAGAGT